AATTTCAAAAAAGTAGAATCTTTGTACTCAAGAGCATTGTCACTACGCAAGACCTTTATAGGACAAGAAAATTGTGTAAGAATCATTTTAGCAAATTGAACATATATGCTGGACAACTCAGAACGATTATTAAGAAAATAGATCCAGGTAAAACGAGAAAAATCATCAACAAAAATAACAAAATACCGAAAACCACTCAGAGAAGCAACATGAGAAGGACCCCAAATATCAGAATGTACCAAACCAAAAGGTTTATCTGCAGTTGACAAACTATCAGAAAAAGAAAGAGCTGGTTGTTTCCCAAGTTTGCAATGAAGACAACTAAAAGACTCAAAATGACCTGAACCCAAAAGACCCTTATTATATAAAGAACGAACTTTATTCGAAGACGCATGCCCAAGACGAAGATGCCACTGGAAACTAGACTTACTATCGGTGGCAGAAGCAGAAAAAGCGTAAGAACGAGGGACATGAAGTGACTCAAGCTCAAATAACCGGCCAGTCTTGCGACCTTTCCCGAGAAGTTGTCCCGTCTGTGAATCCTGAACCTGAACACCAAATGATAAAATATAACATTAAGACCTTGGTCAACTAGTTGACCAACAGAAATAAGATTTAAGGTCAAGTCAGGAATGCAGTATGTGTCGGGAAGATGCAAGGAAGGGGAAGAAATCAAACCAGTGTGAGTAACATTCATAAGAGTACCATTAGCAGTATGTATAGGAGGTAAAGAGTTTACGGAAGACGAGGAAGACAAAAGCTGCGGGCTAGAGGTCATGTGATTGCAACAGCCAGAATCAAAATACCAATGTGATTTACCTCCAGTAGCAGACATAGAAGAATTGGAAAGAAGAACCTGTTTGAGAATAGCCTCTATGTCTTGAATAGTGTAAGACGAATGCTGAGGCTCAGTAGTGACAGCCGCTGTAACAGAAGAAGTGGCGGTAATGGAAGACCCATGATGTCGAGAGAATGAACCTCTCGAACAATGTGATCTGGCTGGACAATATGTAGCAATATGACCCCGAACATGGCAAATGTGGCATACCACTGCAGGACAAAATGGAGCAATATGACCTTGAACATGGCAAATGTGGCAGACCACCATAGAAGAATCCATATCCAAAAAATAAAGAAGCACCAACAACCAGCAACAGTACGAAGACAAAAGAAAATCACGAACTGGATCACAAACCGGATAAAATAGCAGTAAAAGGCCGAAATTAAAAATGACACGAAAACCCAAACCGACGACACCAGGACGTAGCCGCCGATGAGAGGAGTCGAAGGCTGAAAAATCACGGCGATCGGAGCTGGGGGTGAATCTCACGCTCCGGCTGAAGCTGCATGCACTGTCGCAATGTTCCGGCGAGTGTGGGTCCCACTCGCCTCTGAACGGGCCCAAATTTTGACCGACGGCTCGCTGGAAGATGCCGGAGAGGATGGTCTGGGAGGTGAGAATAGAAGACGGCCGGAGACGAGCGAAAAATACTAACCTTATATTGGACTATAAACCTAGTCTGATACCATGTAAGAAAGTGGGAAAAATATATGTTCAATATTATTCACAAGACATGTACACATATATATAGGAACTTAATGAGCCTAAACCTAATCCTAAAGATATATAAAAAAATATATTATAACCATATATACAAAATATATTCTAACATTAATAATTTATGTTTAATGATTATTTTGGGAAGATAGTACAGTCTCGTTACAATATCATTTCGTCGATGTTTGTAATCGTTAGATCAATTATCCTGGACAGTTACATGACGATCTAACAGTTACAAACTCCGACGGAATGGTTTCACAACAGAACCGTCGCATTTCTATAAATAAAGAGGTGATGCTACGGTCCTATGACGAAACCATTCCATTTTGTTTATTTGCCTAGCTAGTCTGGAAATAACCTTGGGCAAACAAAATGAAATAAATGAATTGTTTATGTACGATAGATAATAATAAAAAATAAAAGTAAGGGTTTGATTTCTGTTAAATAGATAAATAAAATAAATGAATTGTTTATTTGCCTATTTTTTGTGGGGTTTGGCTTGAGAGGCCCATGTTGTTTTGTTTGCTGTACTGTTTCTGTAACGAAAATGTCTAAAACTCTAAAGTTTGAAGCAAAATCATGCAAGTTTCTACTCGTTTCACTTTTTTTTTCACATGAATTGGATTATAAATTTATGATACTCAATGTTTGAACCAAACGAGTCATTTGTGAACTCGACTTAATTTGTTGAGGCTCCAGTATAACTCGCTTTGTTTAAAAAGTAAGTCAAGTTTTAGTTCGTATATTGTACAAATCGGGGTGTGCTTAGCTCATTAGCATCGATAATAGAGATTTTATTACATATGATTATCTGAACTCTTAGCTTAACTCACCTCATTGCGATTTGAGTTCACCATAAAAATTAACGACCCAAACTTGAGTATCGGGAACTTGTGTTTAACCTGACTCGTTTACAACACTATCCTTAAATCATTTAGATAATTTTTAAGAGAAGGGTATTTGAATTCACTAAAAAAAATGTTGGTAAGAATGTAGTAAAATAATTTACTTTCATAAGAAAGCACTTATGCTTTGCACAATGAAAAAATTATTCATTTATAATAAACCAAATTTGACCTAGCCTAGACACCTCTTCAGATCCTCCTCTCCTCGCGAGGCTTCTGCGATGGTCGGCATTTGGACGGCTTTGGGTCAGGCGTTGATGGCTCTTTGTCTGCTTTCCTTCTATGCATGGTTTTCATTTATTTTGGCTTGCCATGGCAGTTGGGGAGCGAAGGGCTGGCGTCTTGTTGCGGTGTGTGGTGTTTGGCACCGGCGCTGCTTCTGCAACTGTTGGGGTTGAGGCTAGCATCTCCTTCCTCACTCGAACTGGCTATCCCAGGTGTTGGGGTAGTTAATCTTTCTGGCGGGGCAACTTCTTGGGCTCATGCTGTCGGTATTTGTGGTGGGGGAGGGTGCAGGTGGGTCTCTTGGGCGGTTCCTGGTGGCGAACTTGGAGTGGTTTTCGGTCTTGTGGTTCGGGTCGAGTTAGCTGTAGGAGGAATTTTCCGATCCTGTTTAGGATCGTGAGCTCGTTATTGTCCCTTTGGTTGATTGTTTTTGGTGTTGATTCATTTGGCGGCGGTTCCGATTGGCTTCCAGCTGGTGAGGAGGCGTTGGGCTATTTTTCCTAGTGGCTTAGTTATTTTTCTCTGTGTTTGTGTGTTAGGGTGTTTAGTTTGTTTATTTTTATTTGTTTCTTTTGTTTCTGCTGTTTTTGTGGTGTTGATGTTTTATTCTCCCTTTTGGATCGTAGTATTCTCCACTAGTGGGAGTTTAGATTGCTTGTTTTTTAGTTGTTAGTCTTTTAAGTGCATTTTGTTTATTAATTCTAGGCTACAGTCGTTCCTATGTATACACATCCCTCTGTATTCAACTTCTAAGTGATGCAGTCGAGTAGTTTGCCGCTTACAAATATGTCTTTTTTTAATGAATTATAATCATCCCTAGGATTATTCTCGAATATGCTGAGCCTACGTGGCTGCTTCTGGTCTTCAGAATCCTACTTGGCAATGAATCATGCTTCGTAATTAGGTTTGGAAAAATAATATTCATATATTAATAATTAATAATTTAGGTTTGGACATTCCATAAATATTATATAGCTAACTTAGGTATTTTGATATCAATTATATTAATATAACCTTTTATTTCTTTGTAATTTTACATAGTGGGACACTAAGTGACTAATATATCTGATTTTTTATTTGTTTCCTTCAATTAGCTATTGAATTATAAATGTATTTTAAAAATTGATAATTTTTGTATTTATTATTGATTTTACATATATATGATACATCAAATTAATCATCTTTTGATGATCTTCGATTTGACATTCATATTGCATATATGAAATAATTAAATTATATTTATTTTTATAATGATAAAAAATAATAATATTTATTAAAATTCATTAGAAAGATAAAATTATTTCTCAATTGATATATGTATTTTTAATGTAGTTATATGTTGTAAGTTAAAAAAATTATTATAATATAACACAGGTAAGTTGCACAAATAAAAAGTGTCATACTAAATATATAATAATATATATATTTTTATAAAAGGTATTGAAATTTTCAACTACTTTTTCTCATTAATTTTAGATTTTAAGAAAAAAAATTAGCAAGAATCCTGTAATACACGGGCGTTGTACTAATAAAATATTATTAGATTATGTTTAATAGTCAAATAAGCTAACTTATAGTTTATTTAGTTAGTTTAAAAGTTTTTTGTATTCAAATAAACCCCGTTAGGTAGAACGAACTTTTAAAAAAGTCGAACTTATCTCATAAGCTTCTTGAGGTAGTTTTTGAAATAATCTCGTTGAAATTTTTATTTCAGTCAGCTTATTAGCTAATTTTACCAAACACTTATATCATATAAAGAAACTATTAAAAAATAAGATAAAAAATTAAGGTAGAAGCTAACTTATCAAATATATGCTACCTTTACCAAACACATCTTTAGTTTAAAAACAAAAAAAGGAACAAAGAGTCCCCATAGCATCTCCTCGCGTGGTCTGAAGAAGGAAAGTGATACAGAGAAGCACAGAGAGTAAAAGATAAAGCAAGTAATTAGCCAAAGATCCCAAGCCAATGTCCAGTTCGCCGCCG